GATAAAAAGGGTGAATGTACATTTAGTGACTTTTCCACATTTTTAATGTACATTTAGCGACTTTGTTCTTATGTTCTTCTGTCAGTCCGTGTCCTCTTTATTGAACATGGATAGATATGGTGCGGTTATGTACGTGTGTGGTGAGGATATGTATATGATCAGCAGATATCAGATCGCGCAGTTTTACGACATTTTGCATGAAGGACGACGCCTGCCGATTAAAATTCACAAAAGTGGGAAATTAAGGAACAGTCTAGGTCATATGATTACTACGATGACATCATAAAGCTATCCGGAGTGCCAGTCGAGTATGAAAGTGGGTCTAGATTCTATACCATGGTAGGCAAGAAATTTTGAAACTGATATGCGTGCATTCGCTACGATGAGGAAATTGCGCTACATACATATACAGCACAAAGAGGCATTGTTATTCCAGCGCGATTCGATGCTAAACCTGAAATTTATACACTTCGGCTGTAGTACTCACTCGAATGCCTATACCAGAAGGATACCTACGAGATTTTTGTAAGAGTCTCAAATTTACTCCTTATTATGCTACTGTCCTACTACGTAGTGCTGTAAAGAATTTAATCATACTATGGCAATGCTGCTTATACGAGGCGTCAGACAAAAGAGCGATATATTGTCAATCTGGTTGTGGCTTATTCCAAACTTTGCGACGACGAACACAAAATTTATGTATAGCAGGGGAAACGTATCACGGAGCAACAGGCATGAAGAAGAAAAATAGATGTCTTGTTTTTTTTTCATTGATAAGGACAAGGGTAGAAAATTGTAATTGCTGTCGCATACCATACGCTAAACAAAAGCGTATACAAGCAGACGCTGCAGAGGATGATACGAATATACTTAAAGTCAGCGCATGCCATAATCACGTGCATACCAGAGCTGTGTTGGAACGGATTAGAGAGCTTGGCGATCCCGAATCTACTGATGGTGTATGCTCTTACTCTTAAAGACATAAATCTCGTGAGTTTAATCCCAATGTACACGCAATAGAACTTGTCAAAAAAATCTTAAATTAGAGCAGAGGTGAATCGCGGAAGATTTAATCCTCTGTAAAAGGAACACTTGCCAGATCTGAAGCAATACAAGAGCATAGAAGATGAGCGCGAGGTGTATATGTTGTTTCGTAAGTTTTAAATTTGTTTTAATTTAGATTGGATAATGTGAGTAGGTAATAATAAATGCATCAAACTATTTTAATGATCACATTGTATGTTGTCTTTATTCAATTAACATCCATATCATAATCACTTGGTTTCAAATCATCAGCACTATTGTTAAGGCTATTGAGCGTCTCAGGCTCTTTCTGCAACATGCGTGCGGGTCTATTCATCCACCAGTCAGTCTTCGGCTTATTCCAAATTAACTAGGCCTCTAGCAACCTGTACATACCTCATGATCCGCAATGTCAATTTCACTCAGCGCTTTGCTGTGTCCACCGAAACCAATGTATTTCTGCAATTCTTCCATACTCCTCTCAATCGTGATACGCTCGCGTGCAATATCACGATCAGCTTGGCTAGATCTGTCTACTTGCTTTTTTCTTAGCGTACAAACACAGATGCCGAGATTTTTGAACTCGTACCTGTCCGTGAACACAACTTTTGCCGTAAATATACACCATATATGTACTGCTATCGCCCAATATAATTCTGCCGGACCGTACATCTCGTTAATATGGATTCCGTTATCTGCGCTCAATGTGACCTGGATACGACCGACTCACGCCACAAATATACATGCCTCCATTTGATAATACATTATACTTAAGTGTAGGATAGGATTTGTATTCACTTTGGAAACATGAATGGGCGTCTACATTGCAACCAGCCTTCTCTAATCTACGTTCAGTTACATCGTTCAATACTATACCAACACCTTTGTCTAAAGGTAATGCTACCCTGGTACGCTCAGGAGTATATTTAGCACACGTTCGGCAGTTGAAAATGTAAAATCAGCGGGTTCCTATAGTAGAAGCACATGTTAATCGTATATTATAAGCACATGAATGTTTAAACGCAATATGGTTATAAACCCTAGTATACGTTGAAACGCAATTGTAGATATTTGTAGCTGCAAATTAATCAAATAATCTAATTATAGATATATTGAAATTTCAGAAAACAAACAAACAAACAAATAATCTATTTTGGCATATTTGGAAATATAATCGTATACAACAGAGGTCGGAGACTCTGTCGATATTGATGATGGTTTTTCCATTATGATATGTTTTCCATTAGAATATCGGGATATAATAGTTGGGAGAGTCTCAGGTGAAATTGACACTTGATGACACTTGTTATATTATCGAATACTCTCAGAGGTGGCATGAAGATTGTCCCCCCTAACCAGCTGAGCCCGTCTATGCCTTCAATGGGATGGAGAGCTAGATACCATGTGATGGGGTACATGTGCAGACATTTAACTGCACCAACATGGGTTTTTTTATTTCTTTTATTTTCTGAAGTTGGACTTAGAGTTATTTCATTAGTAATTGCGATTGGAGGATAGTTTCGAAACATGAAACGATAGGAGAATGAAATATCGTGCAACCAATGAAATGGAGTCTGATTTTAGTTACTGACACCGAATAAATCTAGACCGAAGTAGTTGTAGTCAGGAAGTCCCTGTTAGGGTTTATTTAGGATTAGGGTTTATTTGATATTTGGGTTTATTAGAGACTACATTTTGAACTGGATTTATCCAATCAGGTTAAAACTGATTAACGGAAAACACATGACCAAAATGATAGTCACAGGATTCAGTTCAATAAATGAACAACGTCTCCCCTGATACGAGGGGAGTACGTTGAGATACAGTTATCCTCGACTACTTACTACATAGTGAGTGATTAGAGCGGAACATATAGACAATAGTGTCAGTCTAAAATCCCTTAATCTTTAGATCTTTACCAAGGGCTGAAGCTAAACTTAAATTACATTGTGCAAATTTCCTTTGAAATCGTACTTTCTTTACGTTAACTTATTGACATCGGAAGTCAGCCTGGTCAGTCTGACTTTTACAAAAATGGTTGCCGATATTTAAAGATATAACTCATCCCTAGACCTATCTCTTCTAATACACCTTGTGTAACACACTCTCTCCACATCTTATTACTCCACATAGTTACACCTCTCAGTTGAATGATATGATTCAGCCATTCAAACAGAACTGGCAACACTTGCAGACTTGGCTCGCCTATCTGCTCTTTGCAAACCAATTAACCTCTGGCAACTTTAACCATTTTGCCCCTGGTTGTTTTTCCTTGTTTCTATTTACTCCCTAAGTTACTGCTTTCGTCATAATGTTTGTAGGTATGAACTCATGTTTCATATTTGTTTGTCAGTTGATTCTATACCGTGTTTATTCAGTCATTCACGTAGCGTAGCCTTCATAGATACCAATTCGTAACGTAGCTCTAGACAGGTACGTTCTTTCTCTTTTGATGTTATATTTAGCTCGCTGTTTGGAATATTAAACCAGAAGTTTGATCCACAGTATGGCAGATGTTTCATCTTTTGGAAGCCACAATCCTTTTCCAGAACCAACGTTCTCACCGCAATCCTCGTCGCTATTAGTACATTTGCACTTTATAAAATGCACAGATTTTACAATGATTACAATACTTGTTGATTATCAAACTTCCAGTACCACTCTCGGCGAGCCATCGCATGCTTTGGGAGGGTGTTTGGAAGCAACGTGTCTTCTCCATATTTAAATGGTAAGTCACACAGTGCAATGTGTTTAGCGTCTATGTATGTATTATTAGACTTGCCCTCTTCTCCTCTCTGCTTCAAGAGCTTCTGTACGCCCTGCTCATCAATCTCAAGATTCAAGATCGCGATCATACGCCGTGCAATGGTATCTTGATGCCCGTGATTTATTTTTGGAGTTACCTTTGGGTAGAGATATTTTCTGCTTTATCCTTCTAGACAGTTACGTACACCACATACACACTTTAGTATGTACTTTGGTTTTCTACGCGACCTATGATTGCCACCATTTCGACCTTCTCTGACCAACAATACAAGATAAGGATATCATAAAGAAAAAGACTTTAGTTAGTGTTAGTACTGATTTATGTTACACAGTTACTTGGCTATAAGGTTATTGGCCCAAAAATCCTGTTCGGTACACACTCGTGTGATTTAAAATTTAGGGCCCAACTATGTATTCATTTATTATCGCCTTCTGATATAGTTGTGTTTTATGTTGGGGTATAAATATTTATGTATCATGAGTCCATGACCCACCCTCTCTGAATTGTCTCTCAGAAATGATTTGTCCTGGGACATGGGGAGAATCCATTTTTCATCACCAGCGACAATTTATCACAATTAGTAGAACTAGAGAGGGCCATGGGTTAATTCAATTTAATACAAAATATGAAGTTGACTCCTAAATATTCATTTAGATCAGCCGTTTGTTGCTTTTTCTAACACCAAAAATAACAATACAAAATATAAAATACAGATCACAAATATGTAAATATGTGGTCCGAACTTTACACTACGGTTTATTTGACTATTAGAAAACTAAATTAGTAGGGAGCTCAAACCTGAGTGTGACCTAGTAGTGTAAGAATAAACTTGTCAACCTTGAGCCCTAGTATAGTATACAATGAATCAGAATTGGTTATTACTAAATAATCAAAGATTATTTATTAATGAAGACATGAACAATTCTCATAGTCCATATTAGGAAATAGTAAATAGTAGGACTGATGCAACCCTATCCCTAGTCCCAGGTGCAGGACCGTCCCTTCTATGTAGGACAAGTGTCACATCCCGAACTACAACCCCCCCAGTCGCCTGATCACACATGGTCAGGTGACTCAACGAGGAATAACACTTAGAAAGTTTGTACAAAATTCGTAACTGAAACAATAAAATATGAAATAAAACTAGAAGTAATTAATCGGACGCTGGCTGTAAGCCTCCATCCACGTGACGGGGCGTAACATCGTCGTCCTACGTGACCCGCATCGTTGGCTCGTCGACAAAGGTGACCCCAGCATGGGTCCGTGGCATTCCTGGGCTGTCCGTGGAGGCTCCATCAGTCTGCACTGCCATCTCGTACTGCCCTTCAATATCGACATCAGCCATCGCATCGCCATCATCTATCGGTACATCAGCCATCTCATCGCCATCGCCCATCGGTATGTCTGGAGCAATCGAAGCAAAGTTGTCGGCCGTAAGCGAGACCGAAGTGCCGCCATCAGACATCCTCACTGAGGGTCCCACTGACTCTACGGGAAGAACATCGACCGAGCGTTCAGACAATATGTGGACCGCGTGACGACCAGCCCAAAAGTCGCGTTGCTGTTGCTGGTGTTCTCGATCGGATGAAAAACGGAATGCCTTTTTAATCGACGATTGATCACAAATTGTGCGTGTTCATTGAAAAATAACTTGTCGTCCTGTGTAAACATATCTTGGCGTTTGTAGCCGAAACGATTGGTTGGCTTAGTCCACATATGCCAAGCCATATTACAACCATACAGATATTTGAGAGCCGCCGGATATGATCTGAATGCCGCAACCAGGGCTTGGCGATCCTCCTGTGGGAGATCGGCCACTGGGGACTCATATCAGAAAGGTCACATGCCGTACACATAGACAGCCAGCGAGCACAGATGTAGTCGTTCCGGACGACCAATTTGTGGCGTGTATGCCTTGAGGTTTTTAATATGCACCCTATATTCCTTGTTCAAACCAACGTCCTTAATGTAGTGGATAAGTGGTGGATGATGTGCTATCACCACCGCAGGACTCAACCAATCTTTTGCCAACTTGTGACTTAGGGCCGCCATCGGTGAGTACAGGACCCGTCTGCCGATTTGAAACATAAGGGCATCGATCCGGAATTGGTCTGCCGATAAATTTTGAGTGCGCCGCGCGCTCTGGACCGAAACAAGAGCTGCTTCGTCACGAGTGAGAGGAACCTCCCGGAGTGAAACAGTCGGCCTGATAAAGCCCAGCGCTTTGTCGAGGACCGCCTCTACTGTCGATCAATGGAGTGGAAAAACGTTCGGCCTGTTCCCAGGAAATACAGGCTGGTCCCGATTACGGATGAATAGGTGGCGTTGTAATTCTCGAAGAACACCTGGACCATGTCTCGCCAGAGATGATGCAAACCTACACCCAGAGAACGGGATAATCAAAGATGAAGCGTTTTTTTTAGTGCTTCAACACGGCCATTGCCGCCATGCTCGCCAGTCGTAACGTAATGGACCGTGGTCCCCCGGCGGGCGCAATAATTCTTAAACTGTTGTCTCAATATAGGACTGCCTTTATCGACAACGAAAGTATTGACATGGCCACGGGGGTAAATTTGTTCCTTACAAAATTGTATTGTAACCGCCGCTGTCTGATCCTCGTGCTCAAGCGGCCTTCCAGACGCAAAAAGGCTAACCCCAGCCTGGGCAGCAATAACAAACTTATGGAGTCCTCGCTGATGGTCAGAAAAGCCAAGTTGACCTCCTCGGCAATGGTTTGGGGACGCTACGGTTACCGCAGCAAACCTCTCGACGGACCGGTAGGCTTGCCTGTACGGATACATTCCGAGCAGGTATCGATAATTGGCTTAACCAGCTTGGCCGGAATATTCCATCAGCATTTGTCCTGAGCTAAAGCCCACAGCCTATCCGAATGGAGATGGCTATAGCCATCATGCCACAACAATATGGACTCGAGGGTTGCTTCCGCCGGCACCGCCTTCTCCATGCACCGAAGATTCAAACGCTCGAGTTGGCGTAACGTCTCGTATTCAGTAAGCGTGCGTGATGGGGCTGCCCGTTTACTATTTCGCCAGTTATGGATCGATGCATCCGTGGCAGGATGATCCGACACCGTGTACGATACCTCCTCCGGTGGTGGACGAGGAAGATTCCAGGGACGAGGACCCATATCCTCTGTATCCGTGGTAGCCTTTGTACCGATGGTCTCCTGGTCGGTTTGTAAATTAGCGACCTTATACCCCGTACCAATTGGAACCTCTTAGAAGGGATCCAGAGCCACTGGTGCTATGCCAGGTCGGCTTCGTATGACGCGATGGCATCTGCCATTTGAGAGTCGACGGTATGGGTAGCCACCGGATGGTCGAGTTCTGGCACGGCAGTATGATCCGCAGATTTCGGTGGTATAGTTGAAACCGGAGTTAACTCCTGCGCTATTCACTGGTCAGCCGCTACCCAATCTTTGGGAAAGGGCTGACTGCTAGAGTCTGTCGGAGCGGAGTGCGGGGTTGGCAGTAGGTGTGTTGGTACGATCGCATGAATATCCTCATGGGATACCGACTTCTGCGATGGTGTTGGAACTGGATTGCGCCACTTCCATGTCCGAGTCTCCCGCTGGAGCTGTTGTGCTGACTCCTGCGCTCGTTCCAAAGGGCGTGGGTCGCCGACTGGTTCGGGAGTGGCTGTCGTTGGGCGATGGGAGCGATTTTCACTCGCGAAACAAGGAGTAAGTTCGTATCCCAAAACGCTAAGTGCTGGCGGTGGGCCCTTCAAACTAAACGGGCCAAAACTCGTTGGGAGGAGAATAGGTGGGCTCGTGCGACCGCCCATACGTCTCGCCAGTACTGCATATTTCCAGGGTGGTAAACCCACTACACGATTGCCTCGATGAAGAAAGGTGCCTGGGCGATGGGGAATATTAAGGGGTACGTCGGTAATCATGGAAAAATACATGACTATCCATGACGCATTGGGGACGAATGGTCCACCATGACTACTGCTGTATCAGGGATGTCTATGAAAGACGCCAAGAAACGGTATATGAGTGGCCACGGGCTGTTAGCGTATGCCAGGAGATGACGAAGATCTACCTCGAAAGCATCTACTGGGCCCATGTACCTGTGCGGTCGTCAGTTGTATAGACGTCGAGGACGTGGTCATCGATGCTCGCAAATAGTTCTACACCGAACTTGCCATTTATCTGTTGTGATAGATCTATCCAGATGGAGTTGAGAGCTCAACTGGCTTGGAAATTACGGTGGTTGTCGCGCCGGTCATGTTCCAATTTAACATGCCATGCTACTCTTTGTTTGTCTGGGGTATCTACCAGGACTACGGCTACAATCTGCTGCCCGACTGATGATTGGTCCAGTGCAGGTTTCCAGTCCACTCGGTGTTGTGCTATGGGCTGAATAATAGGGTCGAGATGGTCCGCTGTACATGAGAAGTAATCCCCGAAGACCGTTAACGGACCTGGTATGTATAGTATGTCTATCTCTACTTCGTTAATGATCTCCATAGCCCTTAAATACCTACTATTACGCGTTGTATTCTCCTGTATATACTGCCCTGGGTGCTTAATCATTGGAATTAATGGCTTATGGTCGGATACTAGAAAGATCGGTCGAACCGAACGTCGTCATATAGCGAAATTCTTAAACATTGCGTATGTGCACCCAGTTAACTCTCTATCCATGGCTCCATAATTTTGTTGGGCATCATCCAATTTGGTACAAAAGAAAGGATGCCGGGTACAGGAAGCGTAGTGGACCCAGAGTAATTCCGAGGTCACGAAGTGAGTTGTCGGTAGCCGAAACATACTCCTTCCTAACACTCGATTCGGATAGCAAAACTGGTAGTACTGATGTATGTTATGGCTTAGGCAACCTCCCTTGTGGGGAAGTGAGTTTGGTACATTCTGTATCTGCTCGCTGTTCTTCAACCAGTGTACCACTTCGTTGTGTATGTATAAGTGTGCCACTCCCAGCTAGTGAGCCACTCGGCTGTGCTAGTCCGTTAAGTGAATTATTATCCACTAGTGTACCACTCAGCGGTGGAACCTGTGTACCACTCTGTTCCCTATCAGACGCACTATCAATATCCATTGAAGCGTTACGTGATGACTGTTATGGGACGTATCCTTCTTAGCGGTTTGAGTTTCTCTATTGGGTTGTAAATAGCCGGGTCCTGTGGTTGCCGAGTATACAATGCTTCCTCTTCTTCAGTGATGATTAACAGAGGAGTCTGAGGATGTATGATCACTGGAGACAACCCCAGTTGTGCCCCCAAAACCGTAAAACTCTTCTTGTTCATCCTCGGATTTCTTAGTACCCGGTGGAGGTATCTGGACAAACGTGGCTGCTCTTAAACCCTCGTTACTAGCATCGGGCATATCAAACAGGTGTGCCAGAGCTTTCATCTGAGGAGCTTCCCAACGAAAAACCACACCCTTTTTAGTTAAATTAGATTACGGGGCAGAGATAGCGGCCATGTTAGGTAAATATCTTCCCCACCATG